TCCTCCTCCCTCCTCTCCCCTCCCTCCCTCTCCCCTCCTCCCTCTCCCCCTCCCTCCTCCCTCCCTCCCCCTCTCCCTCCCCCCCACCGGAAACCCACGACAGGAAACGACAATATCCGAGCGTGAGAACCGCCCACCAGACGCCTCATCCGGGATCTTCTCATGCCATCTTCGGTTGCCTTTGCATTCCTTTTCTTTCCTATTGATATTATTTTATTTTGTTATCGCGTGTCTGTTATCTTGTTTTTATCGGTTTTATCACTATTATGATCATTATTAGTATTGTTTTGATTACTGTCGTTGTTGTTGTAATGATAATAGTGATGCTAATGGAGATTAAATTAATTGTAATTTATATTATTGTTATTATTATCATCACCATCATCATTTCGTATTATCATTGTTATCACTATTTTTATTACCATTATTGTTATCACTCTTAATATCACCATTACTATTACATTTTTTTATGATCATAATTTTGGTATGATTGTTATAATTATCGTTATCATTATTATTATTATCATTATTAGTATTATTGTTAAGGAATTATCGTTGTCATTAATAGTATTATTGCTTATCGTTATTAACTTTATTACTATCATGAGTATTATCATTATCGTTATCATTTTATCACTGACAATATTGTTGTTCAATAATCATTATCATTAACACTAATATTATCATTATTGTTACCAATATCATTATCATTATCACTATCATTATCATTATCATTATCATTATCATTATCATTATCACTATCATTATCATTATCATTATTATTATATTATCATTATTATTATCATTATTATTATGATGATTATTACTTTGATCATAATATCACTATCGTCTTAAGTCTCTTTAGTCCTCCGTTAAAGGAAAAGAGTGAATGAAATCCTGGACAAAGCTGAACGACACGTGTTTATTCAAAAGTGTACTATGACTGTTTGTTTATGTAAGAATTACGTACGCATGTAGTGTTTATAAATGACTACATGACTTTTATTATAACTAAAAAAATATTATTAGCGATCATAATAGTCTTATTAGCGATCGTATATCCCTTTTTCAAAGGAAAATATAGCTAAATTCTTATCAAATATGATATATGGTAGTTAATTACTGAAATGTTTCAAGACTGTCTTGTAACAAAAATATAATTTGCTACACATCTAAGATTGCACCTGGGAAGGTTTCATGATTTATTTGAATATGAATAACACGTATCACTTTTTCAGTAATTTGAAAATGGAATAATGAGCATAGTTCCCCTTGATTTAGATTAGATTAGTGTACTGGTCATTATAGTAGGACTTTCCTTAACACTATTAAACATTATATATCAACATCGTATATGATCCTTTGTCTTGTGGCACTATGGTAGGAGTTTCGTTCGTGTAATCTAGATTTATTCTAACTGATGTTTCAGTAGACTTTTCTATAGGCTTTCGCCAGGAAGTGGATGCTCAGGCTGAGGGGTTTATCTAATGTGCCATGTATTCATTCGTAAAACACCTTCAGCTTGTGTCTCATCTATGTAGGGTCAAGATTCAGGACATTTCTCGGTGAGTGCAGCAGGCAATCCATCTTCCAGCTGCGTGGTCTGGAACTCGACAGCTTGGCCTGGTAGAAGCGCTTGTTGATCCCTTGCATCTCTATCATTATACTGCTTCTGTGAGCCTTGTTCCATCTCCTATAATTGCTCTTCATCATCCTCTCATTTAGAGGTTCTGCTGGGATTGGCAACAGACATCAAGTGCTGTAGTCCATGGAGTTAACAGGGCTTATTCTGGATTCTTATTACTCCTTTTTGCCTTGTCGATGATGTCCTTGAGGGGGTGATTGAAGGTAGTGAAGGGCTTAATACATGATCAAATTACTGATTCGATGCAAACGATACAATATCTTCTGAGTTGTAATGGCGTCCATTGTCACTGCAGACCGTAGACTCTTTCGGGAAGCCCATACTCAACAAATAGGTTCACCCTTTCTGTAATTACAGCTGTATTTGTCATAGGTACAGGCTGGAACACTTAAGTAGTAGTCGGTTATAACCAAACAGTCCTTTTTTCCCCAATAATATAAAGGTCTGTTCCAACATATTGCCAGTCATGCAGTATGAAGGTTCCCTATGTTTCTGACCTTGAAGTTTCTAGGCAGATGGGACACTGCTGGACCATGTCTTTAATATCTGTGTTGAATGGAATCCAGTATATGCAGTCTTTGGCTTGAAGATGCCATTTCCTAAAGCCTTGTTGTTCTTCATGGATGCGGTCCAACACGCTGGGATTATGATCCTGCTGCCGTTTATCACTGTAAGAGACGTGGAACCTCCTATATGGTTGAATACTGGTGGGCAGTAATGATGCACCGATGTAGCTGTTCCCTTTTTTGGGTAGAGTAACGCACACTTCGAAATAAACACGATACGATTACCTGGTCTGGTGGGCGAGGCCAGCAAGCCCAAGCAAGGGCGCGGACTCGTGGAGCGGTGATCGCCCGGTCAGCAGGCGGGCAGTGTGAGCGAATAAGTGAGAGCGAGACCTGCCCTTGCAGGGCCTGCCCTGCAAGGGCAGCCTCGCGGAGGGAGCGTAATGAGCGTAGCAAGTACGAGCGAGGCTTGGGTCAAGGTCGGGTGACCTCTTATAGGCCTGGGGGACGCCCGAGGCAGGCGTAGGTTATATTTAGAACCATGTATTCACAAGTATGACTTGGATTCGCACGAGGCGTTGTCCCCTTGTGATCAGCAAGATTGCATGACTATGCAGTATGCTATGATCACTACCCCTTCGGCAGACAGCTCATCTCAGAATGACTAATACAGTTGCAACAGCAATGCAATGTCTATTGAAGTTTCTGTTGATCTCTTGATCTAGTCTTACATGGATGAATGTAACAAAAGTGATTCATATAAATGTATTTTCGTAACTGATCTTTCGATAAATCCGTTTGCCTTAGATGCCCATGTCTGGAGGGTATCCCAAACATCGACAGGGTCTTCTTCCGTCAATCTGCGTACGTATGTCATTTGCTGTGGACAAGTGCCTGCTTACAGGAGACCATGGTCCGCCTGCGCTTCTCTAGGTATTTTCTTCACTTTGAAGTACGGATCACATCGTGTTTTGAAGGCCGTAAGCACGCTGTATGAACTCCAATTTTAGCATGGTAAAAGGCGATTGTAATCAGTGAGGACCATTCTGATACCTTGACGTAACAGTGCGAGTGTCAGGACAGTTACAATGGACCAAAGTTGAACTATATTGGATACGCAGAAAATATATAACGAACTGTGAATTATCAGCGCAACTTTCATATAAGACCAGTCTTATTTACATCAATTTGGACACGATAATTGGATTTTTATGATTTAGACAGGGCGTGGCACTCGCCTCCTCGCCTCGCTTGCTTCTCGTATTTCATTGGATATGTTTCGCTATCTCTTGGATATTATTACCTCTTTCCCCTCCTTCTCGGAGCCTGGGGACGGAGTACAGGTGCCATTACTTATATGTTGCTTTATTATGTTCATTAAAGGGAAAAGGGTGAATGAAATACGGTTCTGCTGTACTGCACTTGTGGGGCCTACGTGCGCATGCAATCATTGTTATT